CGGACGGGGGTACCACAAACTCCCCCCCCCTCCCCAAGATCCGCCAGTGGCCCGACTAATTCGCCACTATCACGCCCGAGTTGGTGACTGACAAGCTAGTCGGGGCCATAATAAGGCCCAGAGTGAATTTGTGCTAGGAATATCTACTGTACCTTTTAACGATCTTATTGTAAGTGATTTTAATTATCAAAGAATGTTACAACTATTAATATTTTTTTATTAACAATTTAATCGGCGAGACTATCATCCAACATGAATTATCGGCTTTCAAATTTTGAACGAAAACTAAGTTTTATCTATTTATTTCAAAGGGACGCTACACGGAAAGAAAGAATTTACTGGCACAACAAATTTTACGCTGTTATAATAAAAATATAAGTTATAAAAATATTTTGCTACAATAATGTAAATCTTGATATATCAAAAAATGTTTTTCCGTGTTTAAGAAGAAAATGTGAAAAAATTCTTAAATTGCTTTAAACATCAAACTAATATTGTGCACTTCTTTCTTTATTTTTTTATATTCAAGAAAATTTATTCAAATTAATATAAATATTTTATAATAATCAATCGTTATCTCATTTTAGACAACCCAAATTGAAACAGAAACTCTATTTTTAATTTTTTTTCGTATAAAGCATGTAGCTTTAAAATATTGCCTAATACATGCAATAATTTTAGTTTGCACATATCTCAAGCAATTTGATAAAGATACGGTGATAACAAAAGTGATGAAGCTCGAAATGCCTACACTTCAAGAAGTGCTGGAGGATAATGGTGGAAACGAAGATTTCTTGCTACATTATGTAAATTTCGGCAGTGGTTAAAACAACAAATTCATCTTCCTCAAGGTAAATATTTTTAAATTTCAATCGATCAGTTTTATTGATCAATATGCTAATTATCTAAAAATTTAAAAATATAGTGTAGTTTAATAATCCTGATATCCATGACTAATAATAAAAAAACCACAATGTTTTATTTGTTATTTTTTCATTGAATCTTACATAATGACAAGCATTATTTTACATTTTACAGATATCTCCGACCAACAATTAAAATTTTTCATTTTTACTGTCAAATTTGATTTCGAAAAAGCCACAAAATGTTTAGATATGCTTTACACTCTTCATAATCTTATTCCTGAAATTTACGGTAATCTTGATCTTCTTAGTGATGATATAAAACTATACAACACATACTTGTAAGCAATTAAGTCAATTATAAGGTATTTTTAAATCTCTACATATAGCTTTGTATATTTTAAATGAAAAAAATATTATTAAAAATTTTAGTTTTGATTTTATTGTATAAAGTAACAAATATTAACAAATAATTATAAGAATTGCAAAAACGTATGCATAATAATTTGAAATCTATTTCTGTGCTTGCAAACACATATGAAATTTTAAATCACAATTTAAGACATTGTTTTAACGAGCGTTTATTTTGATTTATTGACAATAAACTCGTGAACTTGCTAAAACTGCAATAAAAAATTCTTCGTAACATTTGCAGAAGATGTTTGAGAGCACAGTACAAGAAAATTTTGAGCATGATGATAAGAAATGCTTTCACGATAACAGCTTAAAATACACCATTTAACACAGAGCATTTCTAGTAATTTATTAGATTGCTTGCGAATTGCTGCAACAAGTTGCATAGTCTGATGCAGGCTTTAGTTTGTGTTAAATAAATTTGGAAAAAAATATTTCCTTAGTTTGTTGTACAAAGGTTACATTATCATTTTTGTGATCGCTGGGCGGTCCTATCTCGCTACGCGCTCGTATTCGGTGGTTTTTAATAATTAATATCTCGTTAACACAGAGCATTTTGCGAAAATTGCCGCTACCACTCTGGTTACCGTACCCCTCTCTGGTTACCGCTGTTACCGCTCTGGTTACCGAATCGTTGCAGTCACTGCCGATACACTACGAGTTACCGAGCTCCCGAATTGCGTGGAGTTACCGTTCAATTGAGCGTGCTCCCTCGAACATGGCGTGCTCGAGGAAAGTTCACGTCGCAAACAAAATATTAATTGAATGAAAATTTCAACGTATGAAGTAGGCGCGCAAAGAAATCAGCTTTTCTCATCGCGCAAGCTACTCGATCCACTCGTGGAGGAAAAGTAGTTGATTGCTACCTTTATTAAAGATTGCACGAGAAAAATTCACATGCAACCGACAACAACAACCGGTGTACAACTCCGTCGCCGACCGAACACCGATCAAGGGACAAATTTTGTTAACATTTTGATGCGTACTGTTGCACATAAATTTAGAATTAAACAATATAAAACCACTGCCTACAGACTTCAATCGAACCGTTCGAACGGAAACGGTTCGGTAGAGCGTTCATACCACGTTTTGTTGGAATATTTGAAACAATTTGTTACCCGTAAAGATTGGGAAGAGTATTTAAAATTTGCATGTTTTTCTTATAATACAAGTATGCATAAAGATACAAAATATACGCCCTATGAATTGGTTTTTGACAGAATTGCTAGAGTTCCGACCAGCAATCCGTCTTTAGATGATATTTGCAACGAAAGTTATGCTAATTATTTGACTGAATTGTTCTATCGTTTAAACGAGGTACAAGACAATGCTCGGAATAACTTAATTAAGTCAAGTCAAGAGATCAAAGATATATTATAATAGACGAATTAAGCCGTATAAGTTTAAAATAAGTGATCAGGTTTATTTATTAAAAGAGCCGAATAAAAACAAGTTGCGTGATTAGTATATCGGTTCTTACGATGTTATTCAAATAATGGGTAATGATAATGTTAAATTGGCGATAGGTTTGAGTAAGACTAGAATTGTGCACACTGATAAGTTGCGTATTGCAAAGGATGCACCCCACTCTACGGATCCCTCACCAAGGTGCATCAACGAAGACTTATATAACTGATCATTGGAACAATTAACAGCCAGTTCATCAAGGAAGAACTGGACGATATCATCATGAGGATTATTTTAATTACAATCCTGCTGCTCGTACTTCTTTGATTGGGACTCACCGGGTAATGGACTGCACGGGAAATGGACTAAATATAACAACACTTTCGCTCACCGATATTGGAGATTGCAACCCGGAGAATATTGAGCCTAATCGAGAAGCAGCTTACATCCAACTGCTTCAATTTTCTGATTTTTATCGTGTCGGGGTCATCCAGTGTTAGGTGGAGATAGACCGCATTATATATCACTGTGGAATGCACTCTCACGTTCCGATAGTGCGCAATGGACAAAGAAATTACATTCAAGAAGTTGGATCAATCGGCTGCTCCCGCCTTCACGAAACTAGAGCCGTTGTCATGGGGAATGGTATAATTGATCGAATTCCGCAAAATCGCACTAGCCGGCATAGTATTACTTTAGCCGGATCTGTCGCTATGGATGGGCGTTGTTCTGGTGCACAGTATACTGACGGATAAGGATCATGGGACAGCGTTGTTGTTCAAGCCACCGTTAAAGTTCAACTACACTCTTTTGAAGCTCCAATAAAAAGGACTTCAAATCTTGTAATACTACCATCGGGAACAACATGTGATGCTTTCGTGGGATACTGCATAGATTTAGAAGGAGGCGAATTGTAATGGCCCATCTACAGATAAATGCCATTTTAATCAATACGATATTCTTTACGAGGGGTACGCTACTAAGCTTACACCGCGAGACAACCAATCTATGCTTACAGTGTATGCGGTTACGACACACGGGACAATCTTTGCATGGGCAAAAACTGCGGAAATTAATCTTTGTGGATATAGAATTTTTCACACTGAGCATTCGAAACTTTTTATTTTCGAGACTTAACAAGGAAAAACATTTAAAATGCGCTCCAAGACGTTTGTAGACAATTTGGACATATTCGCATATGTAAATTCCAAATTTGTATACATCGAGAAACACGTCTAAACCTAACTTTCAACCTTATATCAAGACATCATGGAACAGAAATGTGCTCTGGAAAAACAAATCCTAAAAAATGCACTTTCACTAGCCAGCATCGCTCCAGACAAGATAGCCTCACAAATTGTGAAAAATGTTCGTTACATGGCGGTAATCGCCGGTGATGTATTTCACATTATTAAATGTGAGCCTGCAGAATGCAAAATCAGATACACGGAAGATTGCTACAATGAGCTTCCAGTCTATCATCGGAACATCCTCATGTTCCTGCTATCAAGGTCAAGGATTCTTTCTAAAACGGGAACTCGGCGAGACTGCAACGAACTCTTGCCTACAATGTACAAATTGCATAAAATTTCGTTTCGTACGGGACAACGTCCAACGAAATCGCTGCCTCTGCAGACTATTTAGCCTCTCTCCAATCCAAAATGGAAATATGTCAACTCTTCGTCGCTCGCTACCAGCGGAATTTACACAAACGATAATCTGAAACGACTGCGAAACCATATAATGTTTCCAGTCGAAAAGCCGTCAACTTTGCATAATTTGGTTCAAGGGGCAAACCGTTCCGGAAGCTCTCAATTTTGGATCTTCTGGACGAAAAATCTGTGGATCAGCTGGCTGAAAGCACCGATGAAAAATTTGAAGGAGCTTCATCAGTTTTGGATCCGCGAGCGCAGGAGTGCAGGAATTTTTATCATTATTTGAATAACAAAACTTGTTATTGATACGATCATCCACGGTTACGCTTTACATTCTGTTTATGGATGGAGCTTACATTTTTTTGGGAGCCATCTGGATCTCCATCACTCATCTATTATTACACCTGGATTGGCCGGCACCGATCAAAGGAAAGGAGAATTAAAACCAGGAATAAAACATGGAACCATCTGCTCTATCGTCTGTGCCGATCAATGAACAATCTCAAGAATCATCCTCCGGTAAAAATTGTAATCTGAGTGAACACAAATACTCTTATAAAGAGTTAAGAAAATTATTAGACGACTGTCCGTGCGACAATGTACCTCAGGTTAAGGTAGCGAAATAGCATTTCGAATTATTTTGTACTCTTATGTATGGTTACGTATATTTCATTTCTTCTTCACACATTTCATATCTTCTTTTTATATACTTATTTTGATAATTTTATGTATGGTCACATATATTTCATTATGTTTTTTAAATATATTTCGGTAATTTTATACATGGTTGCAAATATTGCAATTTTCCTTTTTTGCTTATGTTTTGGTTTAAAATATTGGATCATTTCTTTTGAATTTTACGTTTCATTATTTTTCTTTTGTATGCATACATAAACTTTGGTTCATGGTTCTAATTGGTGTATGTACAAATATTAGTGAATGGTCCAATATTTTATTTTAGGAGGGGAGGTGTAACGTCCCCATATTTTTGCGAGCAGATTTCCGCTCTTAAATTTTTGTTTAGACTTTCTATTTTATCTCCTCTTGAGAATATCGCTCGCTGTATGAATTGCGCCTAACACATGTCGCCAGAAAGGCGCAACTCGAAACCTTTCGCCTCACATAAGCCTCTTGTTGCCTTTTAAAGCGTATGACTGTGAATTATCTTTCGTCGCTCTCAAATCTTAGGCCCGAATATTACCCACGGTTTTATATAAACCATACCACTCTCAAAACTTAGGCTCGGATATCGCACACGGCTTTATATAAACCATACCTCGAGCATCTGATATTCAAAAGCGCAACTAAATCCATATGCGGTCCTATTGCACACGGAAAAAAATGACTTAACAATAGCAGCAAAATTTCAATAGCTGAATCAAACTTACAATTAGTTGTAAGAGCTACCACCTTAGTGTCATGGCGCAGCTCTGGCTATTACAGATAAAAAACATTTACTGTGGCATAAAAATTTATTAGCTGAAATTAAAAGCATATATTAATACAGACAGCTAAAAAAGTAGCAGCGTAAATTTCTTACAATTCGTAATTGTTTCTGCGATGCTGCCATGCATAATTTTGGCGCATTAATCAGCATTGTTTACTTCGTTTCGTGCGAGTGTGTTCCTGCGTGTAATGGATGAAGATATATATACGTTATTAAAATATTTGGGTCTCCCAGTCTATCATTGATAGATTTAAAGATAAGTGCACTTCTCTCTTGTATATATCATCTGCGGTTTTTCATACTAACTTCTTTAACCTATGAGATGTAAAATCACCGGGATCATGCCATGTGGCACATGAAAAATCTGCATTATATGTAATGATAATGATAATATACATATCATATACATAGTAACTATGCTATTGTCATTAGAAATTATAGAATCGACATAT